TTTGTTACCTTGATCATACTAATATCTCCAAACTCAAAAGCAATGTACATCTGTCTTCTGTAGAGGACTGCCGCCAGTGGGTAATGTGCAGTTCCTGAGAAGAAGAACATGCCCTACTTGCAAGACATAGTTTTTAGGTTGCAGTGAACCTTCAGTCAACTTCATACAGATTTGAAAAGTTCCTAGTTTAGATCAGTCAACAGCTGAGCATTTTTAGGAAAAAGAAATTCCATGGATACAAGAATTTGCACAACTTGATTATTTATCTTGCTGTGCATCTTATGTCAGCCTTTCTCAAATTATTGACTTGTATTTTTCTAGTCTCTAAGGCCTTTGTCTACTTCAGCTTGCCCAACTCAAAAGATGGGAAAAAAAAGAATATAGTTCTTTCTAAACCTCATCAACGTGGTTTGTGTTTCAATATAGTGCTCATGAGGTGTTTAAGTCCAAAGTTCAGAACAGTGTAATACCTGCAGCAAAGTTGAATTGTTTGTTGTTTTAAATAGAAAAGAAACACTATGACTCCCCAGAAGACTGAGATCTGTGGAGGTTAGGACTTGCTATAAAGCATTTCATGTTCACTTCTTAAGTGAAACCTTTACAGTCATTGTTGAAAAAGAAAGGAATGAGAAAGCTTTTGCTAGCTTGTTTCAATCTGGAGTGGCTTAAGAACAAAGTCAGCTGTTGTCTGTAATCATTTCATTAGGCTGAACGCAGATTCTCTTTCTAGTTTAGGGTCAAGAAGTGCTGAAAAGAGCGCTGTGTGAGATTCAAAATAGAAATTCTAAAATAATTCATCCAGTCTTTGGGAAAGTCCTAGTTCAATGTGAAATTATTATTTTAGGAATTGTTGGACAAGGTTTTATGCTGTGTGGGTCAGATTTCATAGCTTCAAAGATACTTTCAATTTTAAAAATGATAATCTCAAGTTTTTATATCCTTGAACTATAACTGGCTTATATTTTGAATTTCTCTTAAGCTTTTGTATGTTTTCCAGAAGAGTTATATACATGGTCAAAGTGATATGGCCAGGTATAGATGAGGACAGAAGTGGTTCTATACTTTTAAAAGACTAACACCTTTATTAGTTAAACTAATTCATTTGATTGAAATGGTAAAAGTAAAGGAACAAAGTCTTAATTAGCCAGAGATTACTAAATTATCTGAATTGATTTTTTTTATTGTTCCATGATTGAACTTAATTTTCTTAAGAATAGGAACTTGTTTAGATCCTCTCCCCACTCTGCTGAGTTGATGTGCTAGTTTCCATTCTTGCTAAAAGCAAGAAACCTCACACTTAAAAAAACAAATAGACAAACAAAAACCTGTGTAGAACGGGAATAGTAGGTTTTCAGACCCTAAGAGGAAATGAGATAGAAAGATATAAAAGGAACAATGAGGAGTATGATGAACAGGAAATTTAGGTTTTTTTCATGTACAATTACAGAGTTGCTGATTAGCAGTTATTTGGTATAAAGGCCTAGCTAAAGGACCAAAATGACTGTCTAAATTGTCATAAGACCTGTTTTAGAGATAATGGTAAAGGGCTGGTAAAAAATAATGCAGGGACTATAGGACATCTCATTATTACCAGGCAAAAAAGCACCCCTGTTTTCAGCATTTGTATTCCCCAGAGTTTTAAAGAAAAGTCTTGGGAAATGGAACTTGAACATGTCACCTAACTTTTCCAGATAATATACTGGTTTATAGGTCACATATTATGCTGTAAGCTTGAAGAGGTTTTGTTCACTTTAAATGTTTTAAAGATATTTATGTCACTACTGGTAAGTAACCTTCTGTTTGAAGAATTTGCGGTATTTTCATTCATGCTAAATCTAATACATCTCAGGATTAAATGTTAAACTTTATTCAGTTACCATATTTAGGAAAGGTCAGTGCACTACAGAACTGGTTGTGTGACTGGTTATATGACTGTGTATAAGACTAGAGCTCCAGGATCTGGCAGATATGTGTTCTAGAAGGATCCATTTTTGCATTCTGAATTAGTAGTTAGAACAAATCATCCACTTTTACTCTTCTAGTTTTCTTCTGATTAAAAAGTAATATGGTTCAGAATGTATACT